TTAAGTTACAACATTTTGATGCACTCTTATCAACCCAATAAAACACACCAGGCTTACTGATACTAAAAAGATTGAACTCTGTTATAAAGTCATACGCTGAGCAAAAGTTCATAGATGAGTTTTTGTTCATTTGTTTATTTGTTTGTTAAGCCATTTAATGCTGATCTATGAATCATTCAAGCATAAAAAGGACACCTACCATAACTCAAAGGATGAACCATTATTGTTTCTACACATAACACACAACTTAGTGAAGAACCAGCGTTAAAGACAAAACAAGGAGTAGCACACATAAAAAAGTAATGATCTACTGCAGATGAACAGTATCTGAAAGTCATGTCCTTAAGAAGTCCAGCAAATTCCTGACACAAGACCATTTAATCCATCTACTTATCATGAAACCTCATCAGAAATGGTTGTGGAAGGAAAACAGAGACTGTAATTAAGCAACATGCACTGGAACTTCCATAAGGAAAGGAAACAGACTGAGGTATGCCAAATTATGCAATAACTAGACTAAAGATCAGAGCAAACTGGCCTTATGGAGTTGATTTCAACATTTGTCATAGAAGTACAACAGTGAGTGTCTAGAGTTAACTTTAAAACACGGTGGAGGCTCTGTCGTGGTGTGGGACTGCATTGTGTTTGGCAAAAGCTTCATAAACATGGTGCCAATGTAATAAAGACATTGAAAACCCAACAATCAAGCGCACTAAACATGTACAAACTCTGTTTTGGAGTTATATACTCTATGGCAATATGGACTAGACATTACAAGACTATCACAGTAATCACATAGCAACACATGTAATTAGGAAATCATTTCTATTCCTGTCAACAGATTTTATATATTTATCTTGCTTGTGCATGACATAGTTTATTATCTTGTTGCCTCCACACCTTTTAATATTCTCTACTCTGTCTCCATCTCTACCCTCAGGGCTCTTTTCATCCGCTGGAGCAACCCAGACAAACAGGTCTTCAACATACCTGGCGTGTCTCCTGAGATGATGGCACTCATCATTGACTTTGCATACACTGGCTCAGTTTCCATAACGGAGGAAAATGTAGTGGAACTTCTCATGGCAGCCGATCAATTCAATGCAATGGACATTGTGAAACTCTGCTCTGACTTCCTTGGGGAGCAACTGTGCCCAGAGAACTGCGTTGGCATTTGGCAGTTCACAAAAGTATGCTTATCACCCGAACTACGCGCCAAGGCCTACCACTACATCATCAATAACTTTAAGCAGGTTGTTCTTGAGGAGGAGTTCCTGCAGCTAACTGTGGAGGAACTTGCTGACATCCTTGATAGAGACGACCTCAATGTGCAGTTGGAGACCACTGTGTATGAAGTGCTTACAAAGTGGATTAGCCATGTACCTGCAGAACGGAAACAACACCTCACC